AGCCCCAGAGAAAATATTGCCCATTAGAGAAGTCCTGTGATGGGAGGAATGGCCCAGCTCTATTAGCCCCACTGCACTCAATCATTGGCTAGGAAAGGACCAGGGAGAACATGGCCTCGATGTGAAGATTGCAGTAGATCCCAAAGGTATGACACTTGAAGGCTGTCAGCTAACTATATCCTCACAGCAGGTTCTCTCTTGAAGGGAGGTCTGAATGGCACACTCCCATGGCTGCCACATGTAGCCATTCTACTGGAGAGACCATGTGGAGAGACCATGTGGAGAGACCGTGTGATAAGGAGAGGTCCTGAGACTACATGGAGAAGGAGCGAGGCACAATCACCCTAAAATCTCAGGTGAGCCTCCAGATGACTCCAGCCCTAGCTACCATCTGACTGAAATCCCCAGAGGATAAGCCACCCAATCAACCTACAGAATTGTGAGTGATAATAAATAGTTGTCATTGTTTTAAGCCACTAAGTTTTGGGGTGGCTTGTTATGCTGCAATAGATAACCAAAACAACAGTAAAGTGTATAAAGTGCACTAATCTTATATATACAGCTAAATGAATTTTTACCCATATGAACCCATATGTAAAGAACACTCAGATCAAGATATAGAACATTTATAGCAACCTGGAAGGTTCCCTCATGCCCCCTTTCCAGTCAATACCACTCCCCAACCCAGAGTTAACCACTCTACTGAATTCTATCACCATCAATTAGTTTTGCACGTTCTTGAACTTCATTTAAATGAAATTATACAGTGTATACTCTTCAGTGTCTGACTTCTTTCACTTATCATTATGTCTGCGAGATTCATCCATATGGTTGGGTGTAGCAGGAATTTGTTCTTTATTGCTATGTAGTTTTCTGTTTGTATAAATAGACCATACTTTGTTGATCCATTGTCCTGTTGATAGACATTTGGGTTATTTCCAGTTTTTGGCTATTATGAATAAAGCTGCTTTAAACATTCTTGTATGTCTTTTGGTAGACTTATGCATCATTTTTCTTGGCTTTATATCTAGCAGTGGGATTGTTGGGTCATGGGATGGCATATGTTTAGCTTTAGTAGATAATGCCAAACTGATAGAAAATTTTGTAAATAAATTTGTTATTTAGTTTAATGAATGATAAATGGTACATCAGGGGCATTTAAATAAGAGACCCCCTGCTTACTTGTCTTTCTCCCCCACTTGCCTTAAATCTCTCTGGGGGCGTGAATAATGTCTATCTCTTTCATGTAGTGTAGTGTCCACTGTAGTAGGGATGCAGTACCTATTTGTTGAAAAAAATAAATAAATAAGGTGTCATAGTTTAACACTGAGAAATATATTTTTAAGAGTGGATTTTAGGTACTATGGTGAGTCAATGGAGGAGGAAAAAACTCTAATTTTTTTCTGAAACTTCCAAAGGTATTATTTATAACCAATTGACTATAGCCATATGGATAGGAATTTCCTAAACTTTCTACTAGATTTTTAGTATTGTGTAGATATGCTCAGAGTAAAATGATAAATGATTAAGTCCTTGCAGTAGGGCTTTTTAATCTGGAGTTTACGGATGGGTTTTCTGAGGGCCTGAAATTGAATAGAAAATTTTGTGTGCCAATAGATATATCACCCAGGATTCTTGGTTGCAAGTAACAGAAACCCAACTAGGATTCACTTAAGTAACAAAGGGGATTTGATGGCAGGGTCTTGGTTTGGTTCATGGAGTCCCAGGAAGACATGCATAGCCATGCTCCAGAAGAGCACAACCAGGGAAGCTCAGGGTCTGGGGCCACAATCCATGCCAGCAGACACATGCCTCATGCCCTGCTGGCTTGAGAGCATCTGATTGGCAGAATCTAAAGCAAATCTGAAATTCTAGCTTCAAGGGAATCTAGAAAATATAGTTTTTAGCTTTCAAATTTCTACAGAGCAGTAAGCACCCTAAAAAAATGTTATAATAGATCACAGGATTCTTTCTTTAAGACCACAGACACAGCCTCAAAATCCTTCTCAACCCAGCACTGTGCCACCAATGGCACCGAATTGGATCTACAGGTTGTCATCCCTGCACCGTTTCACGTAGCTCGCAGACCTCTAACTCATAGCTCTTACTTTCATTACGAAAAAAATATGCAGGGGCCGGCCCCGTGGCTTAGCAGTTGAGTGCATGCATTCCGCTGCTGGCGGCCCGGTTCGGATCCCGGGTGTGCACCGACGCACTGCTTGTCGCGCCATGCTGAGGCGGTGTCCCCCATACATCAACTAGTAGGATGTGCAACTGTAACATACAACTATCTACTGTGGCTTTGGGGAGAAAAAGGGGAAAAAAAAGGAGGAAGATTGGCAATAGATGTTAGCTCAGGGCCAGTATTCCTTAGCAAAAAGAGGAGGATTGGCATGGATGTTAGCTCAGGGCTGATCTTCCTCACAAAAAAAAAAAAGAAAAAATATGCAAATCATAGAAATAGGCAAAATGATGGCCGCGTGTCCTTTCAATGTCATATTGGAACACTGTTTTTAGCATAATTTCTTATAATGGATAATATAACTGTCTGTCTCAAAAAGACAAACCACAAACTTGCAACAAAAATGGCTTAAGCCCAAGTTGTTTTAACATCAACCCATTCAGATCCATGTGTTCCAAAGTTCAGCAACTTGTGTGGTTTACAAATTCTGACACATGTTCATTCCCTGCCCACACCAGTCTTAGAACATCTGAGCCTAGCCCCCAAAGCCCTATATGTATGTAGCTTCGCTAACTTCCTTTTTTTTTTAAATTGATGTTTTAATAGTTTTTAACATTGTGAAATTTTGGGTTGTACATTTTTGTTTGTCCATCACCATATATATGTCTCCCTTCACCCCTTGTGCCCACCCCCCACCCCCATTGCCCCTGGTAACCACAATACAGTTTTCTCTGTCCATGTGTTGGTTTCTATTCCACATATGAGTGAGATCATACAGTGGTTGTCTTTCTCTTTCTGGCTTACTTCACTTAATATAATACCCTCCAGGCCCATCCATGTTGTTGCAAATGGGACGATTTTGTCTTTTTTATGGCTAAGTAGTATTCCATTGTATATATATATACCACATTTTCTTGATCCAGTCGTCAGTCGAGGGACTCTTAGGTTGCTTCCACTTCTTGGCTATAGTGAATAATGCTGCAATGAACATAGTGGTGCATAAGCCTCTTTGGATTGTTGATTTCAGCTTCATTGGATAGATTCCCAGTAGTGGGATGGCTGGATCATAGGGCATCTCTATTTTTAATTCTTTGAGGAATCTCCATACCGTTTTCCATAGAGGCTGCACCAGTTTGCATTCCCACCAGCTGTG